TTTTTTGGCATTTGTGTAGTACCTAACAAAACAGACGATTCTTCTTGGAAAATTTCTCTTTCATTTTCCCACAGCTGTTGTGTATTGATGGAAAAGGTTTCTGTCCGTTTGTTTATTTCCTTCACCTGTCGTGTTAATTTAAGAGAAATGGAATTCCCTAGACCTTTTTCCAGTGCAGAAGAGCGTAGCCCTAAATAATTTTCTATGAATTTTTTTAAATTCTCTAGGTCAGGGAATTTTGTATTCTGTCCCATTTCGTCAAGGATGTTGACTCTTTCTTTACAGAATGGTGTAATGGAAGAGTCATTGTAGAATAAGATCAATGATCGCAGTTTATATTTATCTTAGGCCATATATACATATTTCTTTTGCCGCCAAAATACGTCGTCTGATACCGGAAGTTATTTGGGTATTATAAATAGAGAATTGGACTCTAAAGAGGATGAACATTTTTACGAAATTAATACAAGAATCAAACAAGATCAAATAAGATCTTACCGTAAAGCTCCGTGAATCCAGAATCGAAAATCTTTCAATCACTGAAGTGTTATGTGATTTTTGTAAATTCCGTACAAACAACGGTACATTTCCGGCTCATCTGCATGTTCTACACAGGAATTGTCCGTTAGATTGACAACAATTCGGTCCACAGTGAAAGAGGGTCTTCAGAAATACTGTGAAACTGTTTACTCGTGTAGTGGTACTAACCTTATGTGGATTCTAAAAGACTCTAAAGAACTTCAGGATGATTTTAAATCTCGATCTTTCTCTGAAATTAATTCTATCAAAACCTTTAATTTTTCAATTCTTTATACAACTATTCCCCAGGTGAAATAAATAATCCACAATGCTTTTTATCATAAAAATGGTATCATATGCTATAAATTTATTGCTTCGGGATACCATACGGCATATTTTGTTAATAGTGAACAAAAAGGTGAAACATGCTACACCGAGAAACAAGTGAGCTGTATGATGGAGTTTCTCATTGACAACATATTTGTCGAATTTGATGGTAGACTTGTTCAACAAAATATCGGCACTTCTATGGGAACTAACTGTGTGAGTCGGAATTCCTTCAGACACTTGTCAAAAATCAGATCAAAGAAGCATGATCATTTAATTTCACATTCAGATATATTGATGGTGTTCTTTCCATTAACAATCCAAACTTTTCTGATTGGATTCCATTAATATATCTTACCGAACTAGAAATTGAAGAAACAAAAGACTCGTGCATGTTCACACTATACGGACTTCATATACAGGAGTGTGTTCCTAACGCAGAAACTGCTCCAACAGAGTTATGAGGAGGACAGATTAAAAGTGACACTCCGTAAATTTTACGGACACCATCAGGAATTGGTTTATCCATACAATGTCATTGTCCAAACTTACTACGGACATTTTTACCACGTGTTAGATTGTGGTTTGACATTACGTCGTCTGATCTTTTAATTACCGAACGTGACTTATTCCCGATTGTGACTATTTTGCTGAGTGTGAATTCGCATTGCTATAAGACGTGTCACGGTGCTTTTCTATCCAGAATTCATGTATTTAGTTTTGATGTTATTCTCATCGGATTTTGTCAAATGTCTTATCGTTTTTAGTTGTAAATCTTTTTCTGTTGTATTTGTGTGTTATGGTAAAGATAATTAATCACCCAGTTCATTTATTAGATTTTAGTTTGGGTCAACTTAATTTATACGATATATTTGGTTTACAGTTTGATTTAGAAGAAACACCGACATAGCTAGATAATACAATTAATTATTTTTATATTAATTAGTATTGTAATTTTCATTGTTATCAATAAATGAGTATTACAAACCTAATCTTGAATTCTATCCTAATTCTATCCTAATTTGGGGAAATTTTTAGAAATTCAAATGTGACGTCACTTTTTGCGTTGATCTCTTTTTGGGTAACTCGGCTGTGAATTTTTATGTGCTGGTTTATGTTGTTTTATGTATTCGTTTTTATTCTATAGTTAGTCACCACTTCGGTGTTATCATGTATATCTATTATATAGTCATTTTTATAAATTTAGTGTTTGCAAAAGTATGAAATATTCTAAATAATAAGGATGTTCTTATCCCAGACAGAAAACCTTAGCCGTATTAGGCACAACTTTTTGGAACTTTTGATCCTCAATGCTCTTCAATGCTCTTCAACTTTGTACTTGTTTTGGCTTTCGAACATTTTTTATCTGAGCGTCACTGGTTAGTCTTGTGTGGACGAAACGCGCGTCTTGCGTATTAAATTTTAAACCTGGTAGCTTTTGTTAGCTATTATTCGTATGTTTCTCTGTCCTATATGTTCTCCCATTTATTTGTATTGTAGTCCTGTCATGTAATGTTGTCATTTTAATGTTATATTTAACATTGCCATAAAAGCAGGAGGTTTGGCTAGCCACAAAACCAGGTTCAAACCACCATTTTTTTCTTAAAATGTCCTGTACCAAGTCAGGAAAATGGCCATTGTTATATTATAGTTCGTTTCTGTGTGTGTTACATTTTAATGTTGTGTTTCTGTTGTGTTCTCCTCTTATATTTGATGTGTTTCCCTCAGATTTAGTTTGTAACCCGGATTTGGTTTTTTTTCTCAGTCGATTTTTGAATTTCGAATAGCGGTATACTACTGTTGCCTTTACCTAAATCATTTGGTATTAAAGAACTTATAGCTGCTACTCAAGACTTTATAAAACGTCACCAGTATCTGAGCAGAAAGTCCTTTTTCGAAAGTTCATCGGAAAATACCAAGGCCTTGTTTATAAATATTCCGTATCAACATAAATAATACATAATGGTCTTGAATTATAGGGGCTAGGTACTGACGTTGTTTATCGTCTTAATTCAGTGCTATAGTGTTCTTTTTATTTGTTTTTATAATATAAAAATAAGAAGATGTGGTATGATTGCTAATGAGACAACATTCCACAAGAGAATCTTTGTATATTTTTTACCTTTACTGTTTATTCCATTTATTGGTAATTTGCTTTTAGCGTGGCTCGGTATTTATACATCCCGCCATTGTACGTGTTATTGTGCTATGGTCATTTTCTTGTATTCTTGTCTTTCATTTTTGCTTATGTGCTTTGTCTAAAGAGTGTCTTTATGCCATTTTGTTTTTCTTTGTTGACATAGTTGTTTGTTTTTAGCTTGATTAGAATTAGAATACATTGTTGCATTAAGGTACAGTATTCGACAATCGATTGATCGACAACAGTTGATTTTTCCTGCATTTTTGAATTCAATTCAGTTAAAAAGAATGTTTTTTTTTATTCGATCGTCACTGATGAGTTTTGTGTAGACGAAACGCGCGTCTCGCTTACAAAATATAAATCCTTGTATCTATGAGGAGTTTATCGAATAGACAACTTAGCGATTAACAAATCTTTAACGAACGACACGAACGGTAACGATTAAATAACATTTGTTGAATCAACCAACTCAACTGATTACCATCATTTTTTAATCAATCAACTTAATTTGTTGACGATGATGACTCAATCGTAACGATAGATACGATCGATAACGATTGAACGTCATATGTCGAATCAATCAATCCAATTTGTTTAAGACGAAGACTCAATCGTAACTATCGATAACGATTGAACATCATTTGTCGAATCAACCTTCGTAAATTGTTTATGATCTATACTTGATCGATAAAGATTAAACATGATTAGTTATAATATATATGTAGGACTCTAAAGTGCGATGGGGACGCTAAAACGCGATGGTCTACGCTAAAGTGCGATGGTTTGATACGCTAAAGTACGATGGTCTGTGTTATTAAGTGGAACACGTTAAAGTCCGATGGCTCAATACACTAAAGTGAGTTTGTTCGCGAAAGTATGGACGTATGCCACGATACATTCATTATGACGGTATAAGCCGTTTGTACAAACAAAAAATGGACGTGCCGTTAAACCATTATATGTGTCCAGATGAAGGGTTTATACTTGACAAAAAAAGAAAGAAAAGAGAAACTAATGATCCTAATCCGGAACATTTTTTGTCGGTATTGGACGAGGTAAATTTGATATGCAAAAAGAAATTTGATGAAAATAGCTGGGGTGCTAAAAAAATAAAGGAGGAACTAAATTATTAATGGGAGATACAAGTGTTAGAAAGTATTTGGCCAACTTTCTGTATGATGATCACACTTGTTCATTGTACCACAGAAGTACAAAGGTAGGAGACAATCACAGAAGAGTCTTATCTAAAGAAGAAATGATAGTGAAAATTAACAACAATCATAAAATTGATCACCGCAAAAGTGACGCTATTTATGAAACATTGAAGAAATCATATTTTCCCGTAGTTCGTGAAAATACTAGATTACTGTTTAAGCAACATATGAAATGTTCGCAATGCCTTGCAGCGGTTGATTTACCAAAGACACAGATTACTAGAAAACCAATACCAGCTAACTATTCCAATAGTAGGTGGCAAATGGATTTAAAGAAGATGCCTCCATGTAAAGGATATAATTACATATGTAATATTGTTGACTGCTACAGCCGCTTTGCCTTTGGTGGACATCTTAAGCAGAAGACGGCAAAAGAAGTTTCCGAATTGCTACTAAAATTTATCTATATATTTGGTCCACCTCGGATTCTTCAGACGGATAACGGGAAAGAATTTAACAATGCAGATCTTTGTGCAGTGATGGATGAGTTTAAAACAAGAAAAATTAATGGTCGTCCGTACCATCCCCAATCACAATGTTAGTTAAAAAAAACTTAATTGTACTATAATATTAAATAATAATTTTGTATCACCTATTCATTACAATAGAAATACATATTGCCTTTACATTATGTCCAGGTTTACATCTTTAACAGCCTTTTTTTTACTTTTTTATGAATATTTATAATTTTTTTTCATACCTTTAATGTAGACAAACGGTATACCTATAAAGTACTAAACTAAATTATTATCTTCAAAATGCTATATTCATTAAATATAGAATTTATAACAATGTTATATCACTTTTTTACACCATAATTTCAGGACGTGTGGAAAGATTTAATAGGACAGTTGTTGCATACTTTAGATCCCAATTTGTTGACACAAGAGATTGGCCAAGTTTACTTTGAGAGTTTTATTACAAATATAACAACAGAGTGAACAAATCTACTAGACCAATGACACCCCATCAAAAAATTTTCAAGAGGCCAAACTTTTCAATGGCATTAGAAGAACAGGTTAATTATATAAACTTTTTTTAATTATAAATAAGAAAATGAGGTATGATTGCCAATAGGACAATATTCAATTAAAATACAAATCACATATATAAAAAAAACAAAAAAAGGTTACAATACGATGTTTGATAATGATAAAACCCCACACTGAAAAGTATAGTTTAAAAGATCATCTTATAAACACAATTTAATACACGAATCCAACGGTTATATTTAAGTATAAAACGTTACAACAAGTTTAAAGTTTGTGTTTATTATAAAATATAAGTAAATAGTTTTATTATTTCTTGTAATTTCTTCAAGTTAACACAGTGAAAAATGATTTTTGCATGTTGAACGTACAGTGACAAATATTACATGCATATAGTGGACAATCACACGCAACCTTTTGTTTATTTATACTTAATGTTTAGGTTGCAAAGTGTAATTTAACTAAAGAGGAAAAAGAATTTTTAGAGATGGCTCACGTGGATGTAGAGGAAGATTATGACGACAACAATAACTTGACATTAAACATAATAAATAAAAACTTAAAATCAGTGAAAATTAATGGAATTACTGATGCAGAACCCGGGGTTGTTAATCAGGTATTAAAATAGTTGCTTGTTTATATGAAATAAATTATAAATAATGGAACTTGTAAAACAAAATATTTCACTAATGTGGGTTGTCAATTGCACACAAGTCGTAAATAAAAAAAAGGTAATGAAATTACAATATCATTTTTATATATATCTATTACTTGTTAGCTTATATTGTACCAGTGTATTATAAAGATTTCACATGAAAAATGTCTTTGTAGAAAAATAATGAAGACCAGCAGTCTGAGATGATATATAATACATTAACCAGTGATTCTGCAACAATTGGTGCATCAAGTACAAATTTTGAGGTGAGTGCGAAAACCTTGTTCTATTTAAAAGCGCATTAATGATATAAATATTTCTATTGAACAACAAATTAAAACATTGCATAACGTAAGTTTGTATGTTTGAAATAGGTTAAAATTCCTTCTTGTTATAATACTTGATTTATAAAACATTTTAATTGCATATTTATAGATTAACAGTAAAAGTGTGCATAAAAAAGCTCAAGAAATTGCCAGAATGGATGCAGAAAATGATTATCAGGAATTTGTTGAGTCGTTGTGGAACACAAGAATTACCAACATGATCAATGAATGTGAATCGGTATGATACATAACTGTTTATTTTAATTGTTTTTAAATTAAGTCATTTCATATAATTATAATCTAATTGTAATAAGGTTAAAAAATGTAATGGAAGATACATTACTTGGAATTTGTGTATAAAGTACTTGTTTGTGAATGATTATTTGTTTCCTTTACATTTCAGGTAATAACGAGAAATGAAACTTTAACTAGCATTGTGCATTATATGCAGCCCGAAAATGGCGTAGAAAATGTCGAGGTAAGTATTGCTAAGATGTTTTGATCACTATTAAACGTTTAGATTGGGTATTTGGATTTCATTTGAATTTTTAATTCTGAAAAAAAGTTCAATTGGTCACAAAATTTTGTAAATCTTATTATACTTTTAAAATTAATACCCTACTTAAAAAAAAAAAATTTTTTTGTCGTTTTAGGTAAATAATACCGTACAGACTTCTAACAGATCGAATGGAATGATACCGTCACAAAAGCAGCTCCAAATGTCTCAGCCACTGCAAGATATCAGAAATTCACAAATGATGCGCAATACAAGTTTACATCAAGTACGTAAATTTTATAACTTTTTTTTTTAAAAAGTAGCTCTTAAAAATATAGCCTAAACACTATCAATTTCAATGGTATTTTAAAACGAAATGTATTTCTATTTTACTGCATGGTGTGTATTAAGGTATTACTAGTAATTATTCAAACACTTTATACAAATGTAAACAACTATTTATTCATGCGTACTAAGCGTTGTAAATAAGCAGCTGTACTTACTTAATAAGTAATTTTGTTTTAAAAAGTTAGAATACAAAAGATGTAGTTTGATATCCAATGAGACAACTCATCACTACAGACCAAATTATATAGAAGTTTACAACTATTGGTCATCGTACGGCCTTTAGAAATGAGCAAAACCTATACAGCATTGTCAGCTATAAAATGTCTCGCAAAAAAAATGTATAACAAACCAAAAGAAAACACCAACGGCCTGGTTTGTGTACAAAATGTTATGAACGCTTAAAAATTATAAAATATTTTCAAACCATTTCTTATTTGCTTTCAGTCAGAAGTTATCCCATATTATAAGGACCTGTATGCAAGGAGATCCATACAACATACTGATTCTGGTATGCCAGGCTTTAAATGCCGACACTTGGAAACCGAAATTTATATCTCTGAAGTAAGCAACTTATTTATTGTGACAAAATATAAATAATAATCAAGGTGAACGAACAGAGTGTAATCTATTATTTGTTGGTTACGTACCATTGAATGCTAAATTAAAGTATTATGAAATTTTTAAGCGAAAAAAAAATAATATTTGCACTTATAGCGAATTTTTTTTATTTTAATTAAGGACTTTGTTTAATTCATAATCACTTGAACAATTTTTTTAATGATTGTTTCAATTTGTTTCATTTGTTATTTTCATGCTTTGATTTAATTTTATATTTTGTTGTAACTTTGTTTTTACTCTTTTCAGAATCGTGAAGAATGGGACAGTAGTATGTATCCGGAGGAGTTGTTCCCCAAAAAAGTATCCAAAATTACAGAAATGTAAACCTTTCATCCTGCAGTTAATGAAATTATAGACTTTAAACCAAATTCAGCTCTATCAGCGGGAACAAACGTTTTTCTTTCAGGGTATTGGAAGAAAGGACTTGTTATAAACATTGAAAATGACGACAGTAAGAGGCAGGTATATACCATAAAAGAGCTTGAAAATGGCAAAATTCATCAAGTTTCAAAATATCTAATTCGTCCAAATTTGATTTAGACAATTATTTTATAAATTCCATGTCATTTAGTTGCGTCAAATAAAGTCTACTTTTTACTTTGTAATTGAATTATTTCATAAAATGTTTTTTATAATATATATAGATATTAGAAGATGTGGTATGAGTGCCAATGAGACAACTCTCCATCCAAGTCACAATTTGTAAAAGTAAAAGTGTGTTTGTTAAAGAGATTCATATTCACCATCAAGACAGTAACTTAACAACTAGAGGTGTATTATCATAATATGATTGCCAATGAGACAAGTGTGTGAAAGAGACGAATACTAGTCATCAAGACAGTAACGAAACGACCAGAGATTAGTATCATAATATGATTGCCAATGAGACAATCTCTATCCAAGGCTAAATATCATTAATTCTAATTAACTATAGGTTACCGTATGGCTAACCCCGCAGATAGCAATCTATAAAGACCAAAGGGTATTAAACGACAATTGAAATGGTCTGATTTATATACAAAACAAAAAACAAAAACATATGTGGTGTTCTTGTCAACGAATATAACTATACACTTAAGACCAAATTTCGTTGGTGTATGCACCTAATTACATTATGACCTTCAACGTGGAGCATTGAACCAGGCTATATAGGACAACACAATGACTAGTGTAAAACAATTCAAAAGACGGCATGATTCATAAATAATACAATAAAAGAAAAACTATTATAAGCACATATAAAACAAAAACCATTGCATTAACCCCATTCCCGTTTCACTATCGGATTAATGGTGTGTTATTCCAACGCACTTTAGTGTGTCATATACCATCGCACTGCATCATGCCATATCATCGCACTTTAGCGTGTCAAATACCATCGCATTTTAGCATGCCAGACCATCGCACTTTAGCGTGTCATATACATGTACCATCGCACTTTAGCGTGTCATACCACCGCACTTTAGCGTGTCATCTGTTTGCACTTAAAAAAACAAACAACCATCGTACTTTAGCGTCTAACACCATCGCACTTTAGCGTAGACAATCGCACTTTAGCGTGACCATCGCACTTTAGAGTACCATCGCACTTTAGAGTCCTACATATATACACCTCAAGCACGGGGAAGCTTTCTACGACGTCCACACGGCACAAGAGACAAACTCTGTCACAATAATGTATAAGAATAGATATGGTGAAAATAACCTTGACACAAAATCGAAAAATGTACATCACAAAAGTTGCAGCACAAGAACAGCCCTTTAATACCATTCTTTATCTTCAAAGATCTTCAACACAGAGAAAACATTCTCACCTCAATGCAAGTTCCAAAACGGTACCTGGCACTGGTTTGAGCGGAATTCTTTGCTAAAGTCGACAACGTCACACCTGTACCATTGAAGACGCACAGAATCGAGGCATTATCAACAGGTGAATAAGTAATATATGATTCGTGCTATTTATAACTTACCTTAGAATAATCCAATCAACATGAAACTAAAACTTGATCTGTAACTTATCAAGATACACTCGCATACCAAAAGTCAATTAAATATCTGCAAGCGTTTGCAAAAAAAAATCCCGAAAACCAATACCTTGGCGATCTTTGCTATTTCCAATTGGCATAACTCGCTAAATATAATCCAGTCAACATGAGACTCAAACTTAATCTGTAACCTATCAAGGTATACTCCCATACCAAAAATAAATTCAATATCTGCAAACGTTTAGAAGAAAGTCCGGAAAACATGTGTGTGACAGGCGGACAGACGGACATAGTTCAAAAGTATATTCCCTTCGGCGAGGTCGGTAAGGGACTTACAATTAGTTGGCAATGAAATATAACAAGTAAATATGTAGTTTTTGTTTATCCCTTGGTTACTTTGTCATTTGTCTTGCAACACAATTTGTTTACGAAGAAGACTCGATCAAAGTATTGCCTTTAGAAGAAAACACATTTAAAGTCTGACAGTCTGTGCGATAATATTCAATTCCCATTAAATAATTACACAAACAATTCACAGGTTGGTCCGCTAATTTACGATTCTTCATTGTAAAGTACTATACAAACAAATGCCAGCATCTGGCAATTACAATAACACATCTTTGTCACATATATATTTTTTTTAATATATATATATTAAATACCGGTATATTAACGGATTAAGTCAACTTTCTTATCGTCAATGCTTTTTGTGGTCACAGTTGATCAAACTAAAATATACAACTCTCTTATGCCTTGTCATATGTCTTGTTGAATATTTGAACCTGTTCAGTTCTTTTAAAGCTTGATCACAACTCTCAGTATTGCAACCATGAATTTCACTGAATTTTTCTAGTCTATGATGAAATTCACAATGGGTTATTGTGTAATGGCATACAACTTGGTTTAGTGTGCTTTAATACATGAAAAATGTCTACGATAAAAATGTACATTTCTTAACATTGTTTCAGCACCTGCAACATCTTGATCTACAAGCCGCCTAAACAAAGGTTTAAACTCAAAAACATCTATCATGTTTACTTAATTCTCTTTTCGCAATTTTCATCCTTAAAAATGATTATTTATTTTTTTTACATTATGACGTCTAAAGCAAATAATTTTATTGGCATGTGTTTGATCTTCAAATGTTGATAAATCCATAAATAATAGATGTCGGTGGATAAATTATAT